ACATCTTTGCTCTTGAACACTTAAAAAAAAAAAAAAAAACTATTGTGAAGCAGATTTGCCTAATGCTGTTTCCATGAGTGTTGATGGTTGATCCTAGCAAAATGAAGTGTTTGGCAACTTCAAACTTTTCTCTACTTAAATGATGTTATTTATTATATATTGGTGCAGTGGTGAGGATTTTTGCTTTCTTTATATTGAGGTGCAATCCATATTGAAGGTTGTGGTCTTTGATCTTCATCAGTAAGTATTTTAAGTCCTCTTCATTTTCATCAAACCAGGTTGTTTCATCTACAGATCACAAGTTATTAATGAATCTTCCTCCAATCCTGATACCATGTTCTTCTTCATATAATCCAGCTTCTTGAATTATTTGTTCAGCATATAGGTTGAATAAGTATGGTGAAAGAGCACAACCCTGGCACACATCTTCCTGATTTTGAACCATTTGTTGTTGTTGGGTGCCATCGAGTTGGTACCAACTCATAGTGATCTTATGCACAGCAAAACGAAACACTGCCCAATCCTGGGCCAACCTCACAATTGTCGCCACGTTTGAGCCCATTGATGCTGCAGCTTTGCCAATCCATCTCGCTGAGGGTCTTCCTCTTTTTCTCTGACCCTCCACCCTACCAAACGTGATATCCTTCTCCTGCAACTGGTCCCTCCTGACAATATGTCCAAAGTATTTAGTGTTTCCTTATTTTGCGAACAACTGCCCCTTGGTCTATGAGTTCCTCATGAGCATAACTAATCATTCCGAAATACTCATACTCCTCAGGGTGATCCATAGTTTGTCAGCATCCACACAGTCGAAAGCCTCTGCATAGTCAATAAAGCACAGGTAAACATTTTTCTGGTATTCTCTGATTTCAACCAAGATCCATCTGAAATCAGCAATGATATTCCTCATTCCATATTCTCATCTTGAACGTCAATGTAATACTCCTGTCATTTTTTAAATTATCTTTAGTAAAATTTTACTTGCATGTGATATTAATGATATTGTCTGATGATTTCTTCATTCCATTAAGCCACATCTCTTTGGAATATGCACAAATATGGTTCTATTGCAATCAGTTGGCCAGGTCTTTCAGATTTCTTGGCATAGATGGATAAGTGCCTCCAGTGCTGCCTCAGTTTGTTGAAATATATCAATTCCTGGAAACTTGTTCTTCTCCAGTGCCTTCAGTGCACCTTGGACTTCTTCCTTCAGTACCATTGGCTCTTGATCATATGCTACCTCTTGAAATGATTGAACACCAACCATTTCTTTTTGGTAAAGTGACTCAGTGTATTCCTTCTATCTTCTTTTGATGCTTTCTGCATCATTCAATATTTTACACTAAGAACCCTTCAGTAGTATTACAAGTTGATGATTGAATTTTTTCCTCAGTTCATTTAGCTTGAGAAATTCTGAGCATGTTCTTCCCTTTTGGGTCTCTAACTACAGATCTTTGCACATTTCATTATAATATTTGACTTTGTCTTCTCCAGCTGCCCTTTGAAATGTTTTGTTCAGGTCTTTTAACTCCTCATTCTTTCCATTTGCTTCAGCATCTCTATGCTGTAGAGCAAATTTCAGAGTCTCTTCTGGCTTCCATTTTGGTTTTTTTCTTCTTTCTTGTCTTCTTAATGACTTTTTACTTTTTTCCTGTATGATGTTCTTGATGTCATCCCACAATTCTCCTGGTCTTGATCATTAGTGTCTAATGTGTCAAGTCTGTTCTTAATATGCTCTCTAAATGTAGGTGGGATATGTTCAAGGTCATATTTTGCCTCTCGTGGACTTTTTTTAATTTTCTTAAGCTTCACTTTTGATAACTTTCAGTTTTCCTAGATTTGTACTTAGTACATTCCAGATTCTGATTAGTAATGGATATTTGCAGCTGTTTCTCCTCATTTTGAGCTATGCCCCATCATGAAGGTTGCGCAAGTTTTACTCCATTTGCGTCATCACAGACAAGTCTACTTTGAGGAGGTAGCTCTTCACCAGTCATATTTTCACTGCCTTCCAACCTGAGGGGCTCGTCTTCTGGCACTCTATCTGGCAATGTTCTGGTGCTATTTATCATTGTCCAATATATTCAATATTCTGGTGCTATCTAATATCCCACTGCCATTCATAAGGCTTTCAGGGACTAAGCATTTGGAAATAGTCCGTATTTCCTTCTTCTCAGTCTTAGTCTAGAAACTCAGTTTAAACCTGTCCATCATGAGTGACCTTGCCAACATTCAAAATACTGATGACCTATCTTCAAACATCACAGTAACACGCAAGCCACCACAGTGCGACAAACTGACAGACAGCTGGTGGGAAAGTGGCAGTGAGGTGAAGGAGGTGGACCTTGAGAGACTCTAATTGGATTCCTGTGTAAAGGCCACCCTCTGACAAAACCTGGGATGGGTTTGAGGCAGAGGAGTGGCCCAGCCCTTCTCCCAGGCACCCTGCCTCAGACCTTGATGCTCTTGGTCATCGGAGCAATCTGCTCCCTAGGCTGATGTGATTCAGAAACTATCCTGACGGTGTATGTCACTATTTTAAGTCCATTTTAGGGACCTTTGCCTGTGGCAAATGGAGAAACTTTCGCCGGTCACTTTTGCCAGCAGAGGGAGCGGGGCTCAGATGGGGGCGGGGCTCGGGAGGGGACGGACCCGGGGTGGGGCGGGGTTTCACAGGCGACCGGCTGGTTTCGCAGAACCTCCACCGGATTCGCAGAATCTCAGAGCCGTCAAACAGCTAAAGCTCGGCTTAGCCAAACGGATCTTCGCGGACAGAGCTCTCCTGCGACCGGAGGTCTCCAAGGCGCGAAGTCCCAGTGGTCCAAGATCTCGCGCTCGCCGGGCCGTTCCACCATGAGGCTGAGTAGGTGAGCGTACTGGGGGACGCGCGCGGAGCAGGAGTGGAGGCGCGGTCCACAGGAGCGGGGTGTCCGGGCCTGAAATCGGGCTGTAGGCACCCGGGTTTCCGGCCGAGGACCCCGCATTTTCCCCAGCGTCCAGGGCTCCCAAGCGGGTGTCTACGCTCTGCTAATCAGGCTGCGCAGCTGACCGCGGGACTCGGCGCTCGAGGGTGGGGCGGCCCGGCGGGGCGCGTCTACCTGCGGGCGGGTGGCGCGGAAGCAGGGCCCAGCTCCGTGCGCGGGGCGCACCTACAGACCGTGAGCCCGACGCCAGTGTGTTTGGGGGCGGGGTTCTTGACAAGGGAAGGAGCGACTACTGGAAGGAGCCACATTGGCACCCAGCCGGCACCCTCCAGGATGGTCACATGTGCATACCTTAGGTGCCCCCTCTCCAATTCGGGGAAATTTCCACAGAGGAAGAAGAACGAAAGAATGTAGCCATACTGTATCAAAGTCGTTCGTTCGATAGAGAGCTTCAAGACTGGCGGGTGCCCACACAACCACAACTGAGATCCCAAACCCCGTCAGCAACTCCAATCTGGGGAAGATCAGAGGCCTCAGAGCCAGTCTAGGGGAAATGGTGACAGCTTTGATCCCTGATTTTTTTTTTTTTAAATCAGAGTACCCCCTTCAGCTCATATATCCTCCTTGGATCTCTGCCTCCTTGGGAATCGTGGAAGCACCCCTATTCCAACGCTCAGCTGCCCTGCCCACAGCCAGAGTCTCTCACAGTACCCACACTAAAAATGTGTTTCTAATTAAGATCTTGAGAGAGAGGAAAGAAAGTCAAAGTCCCTGATCTATCACCGCCATCACCTGTCCACACCTGGAGCAGGTGACTCTGGGCTTCTTCCTCTCAGCCCAGGAGGTCTGGGATGGCATTGAGATAGATGCAGGTTCTGATTAGGGTGAAAGTAGAGGATCTGATCCTGAGAGGTGGGTGGAGGCTGCGTACCCCCACACACATCCCAGGAAGTCCTCAATGCCCTGAGGAGGACTGGCAGGTGGGACTTGTCCGCAGAGTGTCCAGACGGCCTTCAGAGAACTGGATGTGTTGGGAAGGGCACTCACAGCTTTGCACTGTAGAGGCCGATCTACGTGCCCTAGAAGAGCCATGGCTGCAGACTGGAAGGTTGGGACGGAGGTCATCCCAGCAGTATGGCAGCCTCAACAGAAGTATGCAGTGGGGAAGAGAGGATGAGATCCTCCTTAGGCTACAGCCTATGTGAGTGGGGGGCATCCCTGGTCACACAGGTACTATGTGTGAGACATGCTGAGCTGGAGGTCCCATGACAGATGTCAGGGGTAAGGCAGGAGTCTTAGGAGACATGGTGGCCCTTAGCCCTAGGAAGCCTGGAATGTTTCCTAGGAAACAGTTGAAGAGAGGAGGATAAGGGTCTCCCAAGACAGACTTCTGGGAGACCCTATGTTAAAGACTTAGGGAAATCAGAGCTGGCACCTTGGACCCTGTTCTCATGAGTGGCTGGGATCCGCACTGGGACTAAGTGATCCTGACTCACTGGAGTCCCCTGGGAGGCCCACAGGGGTGGGGGCTGAGATGAGGCATGTGGGGAGGATACGAAGTCCCATACAAAGTTCTCAAAGCCTCACCAGTCATTTGCTGACCCAGGCTGTGGGGGCAAGATGCTGGGAGAACCTGAAACTGAGGAACCACCAGATTCAATGTCAGAATAACCATGCTCCCTCACAACCTTGTCCTATAATTTACCCAGCCATGCTGTTGGATATTTTAGCTACATTCTCTGTCCCAGAATTTTAAATGTAGCAGCTGCTAGAAATGTCCTGAAAGCTTTTCCCCCCAATTTCAACCATTTCCTTGGGACAGGCTTCCAGAGGTTTCAGACCTGGGCCTTGGTGGTGTTTCTCACACTTCCGACATTGTCTTGGGCAATTCTTTCTGGGTGGACAAATCCAAAATTTGCAGGTGATTTTCTTAATAAAGGAGTGGCCTCATTGTCAAAGCATCCAGCCCCTTGGGGGTTTGCTGTTCTGGGAGGAAGGTGGGTGATCCTGGCTCCTCTCCCTGAATTCCAAACCTGGCAAACCTGGACGTGGGTCACAATAGATGTGTTCACACTGATGGCGTAACTCTCCTCCCGCTCATGGGAAGAAGGTAACTCACTTATTGGCACCATGTCTCACCTCTTTCTGGTTTTGTTTTTCTTTCCAGTCTTGGACTGGTCTTGGTGCTGTTCCGAAGCTTGTGCGCCGGTAAGTGTAACTCTAGGGCTAAATCCCTTGGGGAAGATGAGTATTTAAATGTTCAGCTGCTGACTAGTAGGGTGGATGGAACCTTGCAGATGTGAGAGTTTCCTCCGAAGAGCCGTGCCTGCTTGACCTCCCAAAACCATTGTCATTGAGTCCATTCCAGCTCATCGTAACCTGATGTGTTAGAGGGTAGAACTGCTCCATCAGGCGCTGGAAGATAAGTACTGGACCCAGAGGTCGGTTGAACTGCAAGGTCAGCAGTTCAAACTTACCAACTGCTCCTACTCAATAGCTCTTAACAACAACCACAATGTACATGGAGGCAGATTGGCAAGCCTTTCTGTCATGGCGCCGCCAACCTTTGGATTATAGTGTTGTTAAATGCTGTCGAGTCGGTTCCTACTCGTAGCAACCCTGTATAAGGTTTCCGAGGAGCAACTGGTGAGTTTGAACCACCAACCTTGTGGTTAGCAGTTCAGTGTCCCTCCTACAGAGCCACACAAAATTGAAAGCCACAAGGGAGCACCTTTTTAAACCCCCAAGTTGTTTCATTTTGTATTTGGTAGAACTGGGATGTAGTTCCTCCTATGGGTTTCAGTTCCTCGCTTTACCAGATGGGCTAGGGGTTTCGGTCCTCCAGGACTCCTATCTCTTCACTGTCTTCACCCCCATCAACCCTGTGCAGCCCTGAAGGCCACCAGCTTCCCTAATCGCCAGGAAAAGGATATACCACCACAACAGAGCCACCCCCGCACCACTTTTCCAGGGTGGGTCGGCGACACAAGGATTTTCCACAAGTCATTTAAGCAGGTGTCACAGTGAAACCAATTTCAACAAGGAAACTTCAGAAAGTTCATGGAAAAATTCCATTTACCATTTTTCCATGAACTTTTTTGAACCACCCTTGTATGTTACAGGGACCTTTTATGATGTAGCATGACTAGCAAATATGTTGTTGAGAAATTGATGTTTCCCTTTAAATGTCTGAATTTTAAAAGTAATTTATTTTTTGTTGTTATTGAGAAAGTTGTTGTTAAGTGCTATCAAGTAAATTCCAACTCATAGTGATTCTGTATAGGGTTTCTAAGGAGGGCTGGTGGATTTGAACAGTCCACCTTGTGATACAAATCAACCCTGATGTTGAGTGCTTATCCTATGGCACCACACCAGATTAATAATAGATCCCAAGACATTACAAAAATTGTACAGAGAAGCCCCATGCACTCCTTACCCGGCTTGGCCCAATGGTACTATATAATGTAGTATCAAACCCAGAAAATTGATATTGGACAGTATAGTGACATCTTTTACAATGAACTTATTTGCAGTAAATGTGGTGCTGTAGAATAAGCACTGGACAGACAGTTCAAACCTACCAGCGGCTCCTAGGAAACCCTATAGAGAGTCGCTGTGAGTCAGAACCAACTCAACAGCACTGAACAACAGTAAGTGCATCTTGGTGCTGTAAAGGAGCCCTGGTGGCACTGTAAGGTAAGCACTGGGCTGCTAACTGCAAAGTCAGCAGTTCAAACCCACCAGCTGCTCTGAGGGAGAAAGAGGAGACTGTCTGCTCCTATAAAGATTTACAGTCTCGGAAACCTTATACAAGGCTGCTAGGAGTCAGAATGGACTTGAGGGCAGTGGGTTTGATTTTGATTTGGGTTAAGTATGTCTTGGAGTCCCTGTGTGAAGCAAATGGTTAAGTACTTGGCTGCTAACCAGGTTCAAGTCTACCTTGGAAGAAAGATCTGGATAGATACTTCTGAAAAACTCAGTCACTGAAAACCCTAGAAGTCCGGTTCTCCTTTGATGCCTATGGGGTTGTCATGAATCAGAGTTGACTTGACAGTGATTGATGGTCTTATCGATCAATTCCTTTTCTGCTTACTTGAGTCAGACTTGATGTTTAAGTAACTTCACAGGCTCAGAGCCCCAACCCAGAAACCTAACTTTGTCCATTTTTAATCATTGCAGATATTCAAGAGAGAAAAGTGCAAGGAGTTGTGGGTGGTAGTGTTGAACTCAGCTGCATTTACCCTGAAGGAAGTAATTTTGATTTAAATGACTTTTATGTGTATTGGCAAACGAGTATGCCCAAGACTGTGGTGACCTACTATCTTCCTGGGAATACATCCCAGGACTACCAAGATAGCCACTACCAGCACCGGGCCCAGCTGTCACTGGACAGCATGAAGCAGGGCGACTTCTCTCTGCATTTGCACAACATCACCCCCAAAGATGAGCAGACGTTTCACTGTCTTGTGTTAAGGAAGTCCTTATCCTTAAAAGAAGTTTTGCAAGTTGTGGTCACACTACACGTGGCAGGTAAGACCATTGAAGCAGAGACCTGATTTCATCCCAGCCTTACTTCCTGGGGAACCCCTGGAGGGTGTAAATGACGAACACACTCAACTGCTACCTGGGAAGTTGGTGGTTCGAGTTCACCCAGAAGTACCTTGGAAGAAAGACCTGATCATCTACTTACAAAAATTCACCATTGAAAATCCCCAGGAACACAGTACTACTCTGACACACGTGGGCTCACCATGAATCAAAGTTGGTTCAATAGCAACTGTTCCAACTCATAGCGACCCTGTGTAGGATTTCCAAGGGACAGTTGGTTGGGTTTGGACTACTAGCAGTCCAGTGCTTATGCTACAGTGTCACACCAGAACTCCAAAAACTCTTATAATAATAACCAATTCATAATTTCATGAATCTTCCTGGCTTGTTCAACTGTTTATTTCCTGTAAAGAGAATCCTAATCTCTATTAATGGGCTTCTACTTACCACATGTGAAGCCGAAGTTGGTTGAAAGAATCATTCAACATGTAAGAAACTTTCCCATAAGCTGAGGCTACCTGGTTTTACTAAAGAACTTCTAATCTTGCCGTCTTTTCCTTAAACTTCAAAAAAACTCAAGCTATGTTGTTTTATGAAATTAAAAGGGGGTGCTATGAAATACCGAATGAGACCAGAATTTTTAGAAAAAATGGAAGTCCACTAAGGAGCTAAGATGTGGCTCTATAGGATAAGTGTGATCTTTGAACCACAAGATCGGCAGTTCAAATCCACCAGCAGTTCCTTGGAAACCCTTTACCAGGTCTCTGAGTCAGAACCCACTTTGATGGCACTTAACAACAACAAGGAGCTAGGGAAGGAGCACTGGTATCATAGTGGATTACGAACTGGTCTGCTAACAAGAGCAGCAGTTCAAATCTACCAGCTTCTCCATGTGAAAAAAAAGATGAGGCTTTCTGCTCCCATAAAGATTTACAGCCTCAGAAATCCTATACAGGGTCACTGTGAGTCGGAACTGACTCAGTGGCACACCATCACCAAGGAGTTAAGGGCACAGTTCAGTGGGAAGACAGGCCATGTGTATTTCACTTGACCTGCAAGCTCTCCATAACACCGGTGAGGCATGGAGCAGGGACCTCCTTGGAGCCCAGACTGTGGATAGTATTCCAGACCCATCTGGGCTCATTAGCTCCTCCTATTAGAGGGTAAGGAGAGTGACAGGGCCTGCACCCACTTCTCAGACACTGTCTCTAACAGATTTAGACCACCGCTCTCTGTCCTGCTCCTGGCATGATGTTGCCCCCTGTATTGTGACCCTCACTTGCTGCCTCTTCTCACCCCTCTTTCCTTCTCTTGCAGCCAACTATAGCATGCCTGTGGTCAGCACCCCCACTCATCCCAATCTGAACCAACTGGTCACCTTCAAGTGCACATCCACAAATGGCTATCCGAGTCCCAGAGTGTACTGGATCAACCAGACGGACAACAGCCTGCTAGACACAGCATTGCAGAACAGCACAGTGGTCTTGAATGAGCGTGGTTTGTACGACGTGGTCAGCACCCTGAGGGTCCCATGGACCCCCAACATGAATGTCCAGTGCTGCATCGAGAATGTGCTGCTGCACCAAAACCTGACTGTCAGCAGTCAGATCGGTGAGACCCCAGGTCCGCACACAACACCAACCTAAGGTGGTAGGCTGGTGGGGGCTTGGGTGGGCTCTCAGGCAGATACAGTCCCTGCGAGGTGAACTGGCACGGCATTAAGCAGAGAAGGAGAGGGCCGGGTTAGCCCCGATATAAAAAGCAATACTGTTTCTGAAGGCAGAGTCCGCTCTGACTCATGGTGCTTCGTGTATAGATCAGAGTAATACAGTAATCCAGAGCATTAACTCAGCAGGCCTTTCTTCCAAGGTGCCTCAATCCTCCAACCTTACAGTCAGCAGCTGCATATAGTCACTGTTTGCATTATCCAGGAACTCCTAGATACTCAGTACACTTAATCTCTGCTACAACCTCATGGGGTCGGTTTTGTTAAATCCATTTGACAGATGAGGAACTGAGAAACTGAAAGGTTGAATAACCCTTTTGAAGCCTCACTCAAGTTCTTTGCCATTGGACATGAGTGTCTGAGAAGACCAGAGTCCCCAAATTGCTGGCCCATGTCCTCCTCATGCAAGGTCATAGGCAGGTGACTACTTTTTCATAAGGTCACAGCTCCTCCCATTCTGTTTGTCCCCATCACACATGGAGAGGTGAAAGGTGGAAGCCAAAGAATAAAGGGTCTATGTGCTGCCAGCTATGTGCAGGACTAAAATGCAGGACTCTGTGTTTGCCAGTTGTTAATTTCTAGAATGCAACAGTAACGCATTAAACCAAGCTAAGGGTCCTGTGTGAAGGTGTCTCTGACCACCAAGAGCTCCTACAGGACCAGGATACCCTCCTTCATGAAATCAGGAATCCTGAATGTCTGCAACTCAAAGCTCACAGTCTCAGAGCCCACCTAAATAACTAGGAAAGCATTGCCCCAAGAAGCTGTTAAACACTGCTTTTTCAAGCCAGCGTTGGAAGATGAGACCCGAGAGGCTCTTCCAGGGCAGTGGCCCTAGCTGCACAGTAGAATCGCCTGGGCAGCCTGGAAAAGCCCCCATGCCCAGGCCCTGCCCCACACCCATCCATTCAGGATCTCTGGTCTGGCCCCTGGCAACAGAACAGTTTTAAGAGCTTCTAGATGGTTCTGTAGGGCACCTAAAGTCGAACCACTGTCCAAGCCACTGCTTCTCCAGGTGTGCTTAGAGAAATGCTGGGTATTCCTAATGAACTCTTCAGGGGTGCTGTTGCTCATTTGGTTGTGAGAACGGCTCTCTGGGAGCTTATTATTAAGACAGGAGAAATTGGAACTCTCATCCATTGCTGGTACAATTGTAAAGTGGATTAGTCCATGGAAAAACAGTGTGGCAGTTGTTCAAAAAGTCAAACATAGTAGTATTACCCTAAGACCCAGCAGTTCCACTCTTCAGTATATACCCAAGAGAACTGAAAGCAGGGAGTCAAACTTATACAGTGTGCACCAGTGTTCACTGCAGCACTATTTACAGCAGGCAAAAGGTGGAAACAAGCCAAGTGCCCATCAACAGATAAATGAAATAAACAAAATGTGATGTATGTATAACATGGAGTATTATTCAGCTATAAAAAGGAGTGAAGTTCTAATACATACTGCAACATAGATGAACTTTGAAAACTTGATGCTGAGTGAAAGAAAAGGCCCCATAGTCCATGAAATGATCCATAGAGACAGAAAGTAGATTAATGGTTCCCCTGGGCAAAGGCAGGGGAATGAACAGTGACTACTCATGGGTGTGGGCCTTCCTTTGGGAAATGACGAAAATGTTTTGGAGTTAGATCAAAGTAATGATTGTACTGGTGGCACTGTGGGTTAGGCATTGATTTTACTAACCACAAGATTGATGGTTCAAGCCCATTAGCTGCTCCAAGGTAGAAAGATGAGGTGCCCTGGAATTCTGTTCCCATAAAGATTTACAGTCTCTGAAACCCTTTATAGGGTCTATATGATGGTAGTGGAGTCCTGGTGTGGCGCTGTAGGTTAATGTGCCAGACTGCAAAGCCGTTTGAACTGCAAGGTCGGCGGTTCAAGCTCACCAGCTGCTCCTTGGAAACCCTATACAGGATCACTATGGTTCAGAACTGACTGGACAGCACTTAACAACAACAACAACATGATGGTAGTGGGGTAATGGTTGCACAACACTGAATGTACCAAATGCCACTGAAGTGTACACTTTAGAATGGTTCATTCTCTGTTCTGTGAATTTCACCTCAGTTAGAAACAAAAGACAGGAAGAAACTGTGTCTCAGGCCAAACCCCTCCCCAGGGGGTGGTGTTAAAGTGCCATCAAGTTGCTTCCGACTTATAACAACCCTGTATAGGTTTTCCATGGAGTAGCTGGTGGGTTTGAACCACCAACCTTGCAGTTAGCAGTCCAGTGCTTATCATACAGTGCCACACCAGGAGGTGTAGATCTGCAGAAAGGGCCGATAAAACCAGTCCCAGGAATTATAAGTGACAAATGTGGGAAGGGGAGGGAGGACAATACTCTGCTTTCACCGACAGCCCTTCTCTGGAGCAGCTCGCATTGTACAAATCGGAAACTCATGTCAGCCACGTTCTCTGAAGCAAATTCTTCCCAATGGTATTCTCTTCTTAAGGATGGCAAATGACTGTCTTCTTCCTTGCCCTCTAAGTCTTGGGTTATTTTCCTCTTTCTTGTAGAAACTTCCTCTCGAATCCATGACAAAATCACAGATCCAACCATTACCGAGAAGGGGAAAGATAAGACCCTTTTTATCATTTTTGGAATCCTGGCAGTGATTACGACTATGACTATCGGCTGGTTTTGTAGGAACAGATGTTTTCGTGGAAGCTACACAGGTATCATACAAGACTTGCGGTGTCAATGGTCTGCATTTATTTTGTTGGTGTGGGTGTTTTACCTTTTTAAGCTTTCCTAACTCTGCAAGATGTTGCTTTCACTCAAAATTTGCATTCACATTCACTATGGTTAGCACCTTCGGACTCCAAAGAAGTGAATTTAAAGCCCAGAAGTCTGAGGTCCTGCATTTCTGGTGCACTCACGCCCAAAGGCAACTGTGATAAGTCCAGTCTTCTGGGTTCTGGGTGGGAGTGATGGATTCCACATTTCCAGGTCAGGCAGTTTGCTTCTAAAGAAACTGACTAAACTTTGCCTTCCATCAGTGGCCTGGTTGTTGTTGTTAAGTGTCATTGAATCAGTTCCCACTCATTAGCGACCCTGTAATTCCAGGCAATCTCCAGGATAGATCTATAAAGGATGGGCTTTGTTACTGTTATTAGGTGCCATTGAGTGGGTTCTGACTCAGCAACCTTCTGTGCAAAAGAATAAAACCCCTCCCAGTCCTGTGCCATGCTCACAATCAGTGCTGTGCTTGTGCCCTTGTGGTAGCCCATTTCTTGGAGCATGATAGGATATCCTTCCCTAGAAATGAGTCCCTCTTGGTAACATGTGCAAAGTATATGAGATGAAGTCTTGCCATCTCACTTTGAAGGAGCACTCTGGCTGTACTTCTTCCAAGGCAGATTTGTTTGTTCTTCTGACAGTCCATGGTATTTTCAATATTCTTCACCAACACTGTAATTCAGTTAGATTCTTCTCTCTTCTTCCTTATTCGTTGTCCAGCTTTCACACGCATATGGGGCTATTGAAAATACTCTGACTTGGGTCAGATATGCATTAGTTCTTAAAGTGACATCGTTACAAAGAGGGCTTTTGCAGCAGATTTACTATCCACTTTCTTTATGAATAGAAAGCATGTGCTTTAACCCCAGAAAATCCAGTTAGGTATGGTAGAAGCAACCCAGGGCACAGACCACAGTGATGCCGCCAGTGGGAACATCAGGCCTTCCTGGAGAAACCTGCTCACACCTCAGAGCCATAGGGCAGTCTCCTAGGTCCACAGGCATTTTGTGAATATCACAGTAGATCTGTGCTCCATAGAGTTTTCAATGGCTGATTTTCGGAAGTAGATCACCAAACTTCCCTCCCAAGGCACCTCTGGGTGGATTTGAACCACTACTTTTTCAGTTCACTACTAAATCGCTTAGGCCACCCTTGTTAAGCCTTATGTATAAAATAAACCAAAAAAAAAAAATCCCAATTGCCATCAAAGGAACCCTCACTCATGACAACCCTGTATGTGTCTGAGCAGACCTGCACAGGGTTTCGTTGGCTGATTTTTCACAAGTAGACCACAAGCCTTTCGTTATAAATGTTAGGTTGATTCGAACTGCCAGTCTTTCAGTTGGCAGAGAGTTTGCAGCACCAAGGGACTCCTGGGACAAAGGGAACATTGCTCAGCTGAAACTTAGTCACGCCTTGATTACAGAATTGGCTTGCAGCGGGAGCCTCCCTCAGCCCCTGTGCAGTGATCTGCAGTTTCCAATTCCAGTTAGCCCAGAAATAATTTTCTTTGCCCACAACCTGTGTTGCTGATCTGGAAGGACAGCCTCAGTCCAGAGCACACAGAACCTTTTAAAAATAGCAAGAGGAACTGTGCACGTACACTTTAAAAGGCATCTTCCTCAAAAAGGAAAGTTCTGGAAAGTCATGGCCAGGTGAAGTGTCCAGAAGATTGGGACATCCACATCCAGCCCTTGCAATGAATGAATTTGAACATGCTCCTTTCTAAAGTCAAGGAGCCTTGGTGACATTGGATTATGTATTGAGCTATTAATCTCAAGGTCAACGGTTCAAGCCTACCAACCACCCCTCAGGCTAAAGATAGGCTGTCTGCTTCTGTAAAGATTTGCAGTCTCAAGAACCCTAACGATCCGTTCTACTCTGTTGTGTTGGGTCACTATGAGTCAGAATCGACTGATGGCAGTGGGTTGTGTTGGGTTTCTTTGTTTCTCAAATGACTGAGCGTTTAGTGAAATGAATATACACTTCTAAGTTTGTTTTGAAGTGGGTTCCTCTTTCTTATTTCTCACGGCTTCATTCCCAAGGACTCGGGGCAGTGCATGAAGACATACACAGTGCCAGGCAAGGAAGAGGCAAGCAAGAGCATCAGAGTTCAGGAAGCAACAGGGTGGGTGAGGATGGAAAATGGGAAGGTGATGTCGGCCCAGGGAGTCTCTCATCGGGGTGTCCATTTCTGCCTCCTGGAGCACTGTGGGTCCCTGAGGACTTCCCTGTCCTTCACTTCGCTGATGTCTGTGACTTCCTCCCACAGGTGCCCAGAGTGTCAGCCCGGAGCTTGAGCTTACTGGTAGGTATCAGAGAGGGCAATTCCAATTCTTTTGTACCTTGTCTGACATATTATGATGGAATTGTCCAAACAGCTACCAATAGAAGATTCTATGCTGAGTCCCTAGGTATCCTTTCCTTCCCCTTCCCCCCAGTTTAGCCACTACCAACCTAAGCCTAGCCTTGTCCTTTTCCACTCTCTCCACTCCACTCCCACTGTAACCCTCCCACTCTCCCCTACTCCCCACCTCCTCACTCCTCTGCCCCCCCCCATTTCCCACTCAAACACCCACTGGAGAATCGAAGTCTCAGACACTGTATCATTTCGGTCTGTAAAAGGACAGTTGTCTCTAAGTCTCAGTGTGACTTTGTGTCTGCTGGGGATGTGCAGGCCATGGGTGTAAAGGGAGGTACGGATTCCTGATCCATTGGGGAAATATTCACTTGGAGTCCCAGCACCCACCTAGCAGGACCTCTTGCTGCAAGAGTGACCTCACTACCAGTCAGGCATGGTGCCTTTGGCAAACTGTAGCACTTCTCCCAACCCCATTGTTCTCTGAAGAAAGGGGTGTGTAGACTGGGGTGGCTCATGTTGCTGTTTTTCTGTGGGAGGTGCTTGCCGAAGGCCTGGGCTAGCCAAGTTCGGATAACTTTCAGAACATAACTTGCCAAGAAATTAGGCCGCCTGTTCTTAATTAGGCTAAAATGAGGCAAGCTGTTCTCAGGCAGCTGTGTCCAGAGACCCTCCTTACCTGTTGGCAGCAGTGTTTACACAGTTCTGAGCCCTGAGCAGGAGACCAGGAAAGGGCACCCGCATCTCACCTCCTTTTCTTTCTTCCCAGGCCCTGTTTGACAGACGTCCCTGTCAGATAGCCATGGCTGGGCCTTCCAGGAGATGCCTTCAAGCCAGACTTCACAGCTGATGACGGCGTCCCTTTGTGAAACGTGGGACAGTGACTGGGGCAGGCTTGCCCCCATCTGCACCACATATAGGGACAAGGAGCCTCTCCAGCCTGAATGGGGTCCTTGGCTAGACCACGACAAGGCATGAGAGAATGTACTGGAGACATCCAGAGTGAGGCCTTTCGGAAGGCTCAACAGGACAGATCAGGAGTGTTCCCAGGACATGGAATGAGATGGGGACCTCATGACTGCTGCTTTTCCACCGTGGAGCCCTTGTAATGCTGAGACCTGTGTTAGGGACTCCCACCACTGTTGGGACAAGGCTCCACAGCAGGAAGAAGGGAAGCGAGTTTGCAAAATGAAGCAGACACTCCACTCGCTCCAGAATGCCTCAGGTTTGTGGGAAGTTCAGGCCGTGGAGGTCCTCACACTTCTGTGTACAAGCTCCCACCACGTCCTCCACACAGTGAAGCTACAGGACCGGTGTCTGTATGTGGGTATATATATGTGCATGTGTGTATACATGTGTGTGTGCCTGTGTCTGCATGTGACTTGTTTTAGTCTGTCATACCCGGGTGTTTGTGCTTGTTTGTCTGAACTGAATGTGGAGGTACGTGTGTGTACACATGTCCGTATCTGTATGTGCTGTGCACACATGTATACCCATAATGAACCAGTAAAATGATCTCAATCAAAGAACCCTTTGGAGTCTCCACTGGACTTGATTAGCTTCTGGGATACATACTGGGGAGAAAGCATTTCCCTCCTAGAAAGGTACATGTGCGCTTTGTGAGAGGAAGGTCTGCTTCCCAGGTCTTAGCCCATGTGAGATGACACAAGACCCTGGCAGTGCTCCACGGTGTCCATCATGATGGGGGTGCCTCTTCCTGCCAACCGTGGCATCTCATCAGAAGCTGGCAGACAGGGTTGGTAGTTAACCCCACTGCCCTCCCTCTTCATTCATCACCCTTGGCCGCACGCCACAGCAGCATCCCACCCAGCTTCCCTAACCTGCCTGCCATCCAGGCCTCCAAGGAAGACCTCCAGCTCCAACTCCAGGTTCCTCAGAGACTGGCAGCCCCATCGGTGCTGGAAGCCCTCCCAGGGCAGTTTCCATGTTGTTGAAGTGTCTTAAGGGAAAGGTTCTAGAAAGGAGGCCAGCCAGATAACCCAGGTATGTTCACCTTCCAGGCAGACAGTCCTGGGTAATCTAACCTCACTGTTGGGATGCTGGGGGCAAATGCCCTCCATTGCCTTCCTGCTCAGAATCCCAGGTGGACCGAGAGCTTATTCAGGGGTGGTGTTATACCAATGGCCTGTCAATGCTGATGGTCATAGGAGGCCTGTACTCCTCAGACCCACGCATGGACCAGAACTGAGGAATGAGGTCTGTGATCAAGCAGAGTTCCAAAACTGATTAACAGACGTTGTTAGTGTGTTTTTAAACCACTAAATTTTTCTGCCACCTGTCACAAGGGGTCTTCAGGGAAGTTTGCATTGGAAAACATAAGCTGCATGTTGATGCAGAAAGAACAATGGGAAGGTCATTCATTAACATTTTGAGCAAAGAGACAGAAGGAACTACTAGGCCAAACATCTAGCAGTCGAAGAGCTGACTGCCCAGAGTCCCCCACATCCCAGAACCAAAGGTCACGGCACTGTCCTTCAGACTTGAGATCCTGCTTTCCTGGGCTTTCACAAAGACTGGACAGCAGCAGACAGGTGGGAAGACCAAGTCAGGTTCCAACCATTGGGCCTGGAATAGCCCTTTGCCAATCTGAGGACCAGGGGAATCCTCCTTGCAGCCTGCCTCCTCTTTTAAAGAGCTTAGGCTGTCACCCCAGTTATTGGTGGGTTCTGCCTGGATCGGATCTCATGGGTCCCTCTGCTCAGAATCAAATTATCACCCTTGGACTGGTCCTGGGATACATGGCCTGACCACTCTACCTGGCCACAGAGCAGGAGAATGTTCCAGAAGGGGTGGAGCTTTTCTGGGGTTGACCTTGCTGATGTGGTCTAAAACTAGCTTTTGTTGGTGCAGTTGGTCTTGTGTGAGGTCACATTTGCTGCTTGATCGCTATGCTGGTGTGTACACAGGCCCAGATTCAATGTTTTGATAAGCATCTCTGTTCTAAAGCCAGATTTGAGAGAAAACAGATGTGTCCATCCTAGGAAACCACAGATATCAGCAGTATCCTTGCAGCTGCTCCTGGTTCTCTGCCCCTACACCACAGTTCTCTCCCAGGGCGAGTCTGCTTCCCTCCACCCCACCCCCACCCCCCAGGGGACATCAGGCAGTGTCTGGAGACATTTTGGGCTGTGACACTTGGTGGTAGCTACTGGCATCTAATGGGTAGAGGCCAGGGATATTGTTTAACATCCTACAGTGCACAGGACATACCACCACAAAGAATGATCTGGGCCTAACTGTCAGCAGTGCCCAGACTAAGAACTGTGCCCCCCACACTTACTTCCTATTTGAGAACAGGGCTGTACTAAAGCTTAAGAATGCTGCCGGTCCTGAAAGCTATACTCAGTGGCTGACAGAGCTCCCCGTGGGCATCCTGCCCAGAACCAGTGTAACTCATTCTAACAGGTCCAGACCCAGGTACAGTATTAGGTCAAGATTGGCAGCATTTCTCCTGCCCAGCCCAGCCCCCAAGGGCCAGGCACCGAGGCTCCCCGACCCAGAGGGCTAAGAACTGGTTGAGTGGGCAAGCATTCCTAGGCACAGAGACAAAACCCCCACCCCACCCCTGTGCCCTTGTGCATCACTGGTTATTCATGTATCTTGTAAGAAAACAGCATCAAATAAGGTTCATATCAAGCTAGTGTCTTAATTTCGTAGGACTGCTCTAACAAATTCTACAAGTGAGTGGCTTTAAAGAACAGAAATGTTTTGTCTTATAGTTCAGTAGGCCAGGAGTCTAAATTAGGTGAGACTCGAAAGGGCAGTCCTTTCTGCACTTGTAGATACATCTGCCGCACGTATCTGTCTCCACACAGCGTCTTTCCTTGTGTGTATGTACGTGTGTCTAATCTGCCTTTTTTATAACTTAGAAATGGTTGGATTTAGGGCCCACTTTACTCTGGTGTAAAAATCCTTTTCCCAAACAAGATCCATTCATGGTATAAGGCCTGAGACCTTGACACACATTGCAGGGAAAGAGTGGGGAGAGAGACAATTTAATCCACACCAACTAGCAGATGAGATGATTCATCACTAGGTGTGAGGAGAAAGAGCTAGCTGTGTCACCTACACATGACTGGGATGGCCATCCAGGCTGGGGCGACTATTGAGAAGACTACCAGCACCCTGTAGCAACCAGGATGAAGTTGGCACCTCTGTTGCTGTTTCTGCCGTGCCCGTGCTATCTGAAGGCAAAGTAAGCCCAGCTCTAAGACCCTTCATCAACTCATGTTTTATTCATTTTCTCTGAGACAACTTTTCCAAAAAAAGACATCCCTAATAAAAGGGTCCCCCAAAACAAAACTAAACCTACCACACTTGAGTTGAATTCAGACCCATAGAAACCCAACAGGACAGACGAGAACTGCCCCATAGAATTTCCAAGGTTGTAAATCTTCACTGGAGCTGTCAGACTCATCTTTCTCCTATGAGTACCTGTTAAGTTCGAACTATTTACCTTTCATTTAGCAGCCTAGCTCTTAATCACTGCACCACTAGGGCTCCTTAATAAGAGGGCAGCTGTTTTGATTTGATCTGGAAATAACTTAGTCCCCAGAGACTTCCTCTCCCGCCTACGGTATTCTCATAGTACACTGTTGTTAAGTACAGTCGAGTTGGTTCTGACTTATAGCAACCCTGAATTGTAATTTTGTAGGAGCAGGATGCCTCATCTTTCTCCCACTGAGTGGCTGGTGGATTTGAACCCGATTTTGTGGTTTGCAGTCCAGTGCTTATCCTACAGAGTCACCACACTCTATAGTATAGCACCACTGCACTTAAGTATGTTGTTTGCCGATGAGTCGATTCCGACCCATAGTGACCCTGTATAGGGTTCCCAAGGAGCAGCTGGTGAGCTTGAACCACTGACCTTGCACTCTAGTATAGAGCCAGTCAAAGATTCATCTTCCCTACTGCAGTGGCAACATCTAGTATGGATGGAATTGTGTCCCTCAAAAATACATATTGAAGTCCTGTATCCTGTATCCATGGATGTGACCCTGCTTGGAAAGAGAGTTTTGGTTATGCTAATTGGATCATGACTGGTAGAGTAGGTTCTAAATCTAATTATTCTGATTTACAAAAAGAGCAGAATGGACACAGAGACACATGGGTAGGGAAACAACCCATCAATAAGGATGGTGCACAGCTACGAGAAACTGAAAATGATCAACCAGGACCTCCCTCTAGATCTGATGCCCTGACAGTAAATTGCTAAAGTCTGACTGTGAAACAATAAATTCCTGTTCTTTAACGCTAATCAAGTCAATATTACAACTTGAGGCTTGAATTTCTTTCCGCTTGAGAAATGTGTTCTTCCCTTGTAATTTTCTAACTCCAAGTCTTTATGCATTTCAGTAATACTTTGTCTTCTCTAACTTCACTTTGAAATGTTTTGTTCAGCAATTTTACTTCGTTTCTTCCATTCATTTTAGCTTCTCTATGTTCCGGTGCCAGTTTCAGAGTCTCTGCTAACATCTATTTTGGTCTTTTCCTTCTTTCCTGCCTTTTTGGTGGCCTTTTGCTTTCTTTGAATATGATGTCCTTAATATTATCCCAGAACTCATCTGGTCATCAGTCAATAGCACCCAATGTGTCAAATCTATTCTTCCCCCTCCACCCCAGCCATTTTTGTTTTTTTAATTATTAAAGTTTTATTGTGAATTGAGTGATAGTTTACGTGAGAAAAACATCAGTTTTACACTCATCGTTTCATTGCCATTACAATCCCCTCCGTGCATCATTATTTCAACAGTATTTGATTCTATCCCCTCTGTTTTTCATTTTTGTTTGTTTGAAGTTTTTCTTGGGGTGGGAGAATGTACACAAAAATGATCAGGAATATATAATCATTTAAACAACCAAAGGGCGCATTCGTTAAGCCTGCCTCCTGGCTGCCAGCATGCAGACTTTCTCTTTCCATGAGTCTAGAGTCCTCAGCTGCTCTATCTCTCCATGTGTTCATCTCTGCCACCATCTCTGGCAAAGCTGTTTCTCTGGATAGGGTCCCACATTCCACCCATGCTCTTCTCCCTTGATGGTCCTAGGGTCCTCTGTTCCTGGAATGTAAGATTAACTTTATGTTACAAAACTTCTACCTTTACTATTGTGACCATCACAATTAATTATGATAACAATTACTCACTATTGAATCATAAGACTCTTATTACCATCTCCTTTCAACAGACATGTCTAGACAAGATGAAAACTATTCAGTGGGGATTCTACCTTCCCCCACATACTCTGAAATTGAAGTTCCTCTTGAAAACCTCTAAGCCAGTCACTTCATGCCTTTATAGCCCCTCCCACTTTAGGTAGCCAATATTCTAAGTTGCCCATCCCTATCAACCCTGCATACAGAGGGGATAGATTGAAGACTCCTTCCCTCTTAGTTGGATTTAAACTACTACATCCATAAGTATATGTCAAGTTCATCAAATTTACACTTATTTCCTTTACCTAATTTTTCTGTCTTCTTGTCAAGTCAAATCTATTTTTTAGATGGTCTCTAAGGTCTTACTTTGGGTCTCATAAACTTGTTCTAATTTTCTTCAGCTTCAACTTGGACTTACATGAACAATTGATGATCTGTTCTACAGTCAGTCCCTGCCTTATTCTGATTGATAATATTGAGCTTCTCTATCATCTCTTTTCACAGATGTAGTCAATTTGATAACAGTGCATTCCATCTGCTGAGGACCACATGTACAGTCATCATTTATGTTGATGAAAAAAGTATTTGCAATGAATAAATCTTTGGTCTTGTAAAATTCTATCAAACGTCATTGTTATCGATAAGTCATATTTTCCAACTACCAATCCTTCCTTTTTGTCTCCAATTTTCATATCCCAATCACCAGTAATTATCAATGCATTTTGATTGCATGTTTGATCCATTTCATAGTGTTGAAGTAAAAAAAAATCATCAATTTCTTCATCTTGGTATTAGTAGTTGGTATTGATATTATCCTATCACAGATAATGTTGTACTTCAGGATAGATCTTGAAATATTCCTTTTGACATGAATATTTTCAAATGTCACCAACATTTTATCTTCAATTTTTCATTCCCACCATAGTAGACCGTATGATTTTCCAATTCAAAAAGGTCAATATCTTTCTATTTCAGTTCACTAATGCCTAAGATATCAAATGTTCCATTTATTTTTAACAACTTCTGATTTTTCCATA